GTAGAATTGCAGTGCATAGCACAATAGTCGAAGCTTCCCTATCCTAACATAATCAAGCGTTACACAACCGAAAGTAGCAAAGCTCCACATAACGTGACCATACCACAATCGCTTGCCCCTGCAGATCCTAGCAGAATATACTTGAACAAAGAAGATAGCAGTAATCCACCGCATTGCATTGTATAGCGCAAAAGACAAAGGTATCTTACCGTAATCCTAGCTAACAAAACATGACCTTACATAAAAGAAATCAACCTAACGTGCCTAGACCAGTATTGCTGGCCACCCCAACGCAAAGCAGTGCATATTAGAAGAGAGTAGAGGGCAGAAGTCCATAGAATGTCGCTGCATAGCACGAAAGTCAATGATCTCCGAAACGAACACAAAGAAACCTTACCTAACCAAACGTAACTGAACCCAACCTAAAGTGCCGCAGCCACAACTACTGCCTTCCCGAGAGCAAAGAGAGGAATATTTGATCACAGTCGAGCGTAGAAGTCCACTAAATAGCAGCGTATAGCACAACAGTGAAAGCTATCCCAACCAAACACAACCAAACCAAGCATTACCAAGCGTAACATGACCCAACCTTACGTGCCGCGGCCACAATACCTGGCGTCCCCAGAGAAAAACAGAGCGTGATAGCGCACAGTAGATCGCAGAAGTCCAGAGAATAGCAGTGTGTAGCACAAATGTCAAAGCTATCCCAACCTGACCTAACAAAACTTAACCGAACCAAACGCAATCGAATAGGATCTAACGTACTGCGACCACCATTGCTGACCCTCCGAGCTTTGAGCAGAGTATAGTAGGGCAATGTAGAGCGGAAAAACCTACCGGAGAGCAATGTATAGTACAAAAGTCAAAGGTATCCGAACCTACCCCAAGCCAACATTACCTAGCCTGACATGGACAAACCCAATATAACGTGCTGCGCCCAACATTGATGGCCTCCACGGGGTTAAGTAGATTAAACTAGAGCATGGTAGAGGTCAGGTATCCTCAGGGTGACAGTATATAGCGCGAAAGTCATAGCCATACGAACCAAACAAAACCGAACCTAACGAAACCGAACGTATCACAACTCAATCTAAAGTGCCGCGACCACCATTGCTGGCCTCCTCAGGGCAATTCAAATCGTATCGGACGAGAGCAGGGCGCAGAAATGAGTAAAATCGCAGTGTATGGCGGAAAAGTCAAAGCTGTCCAAACCATGCAAACGTAAGCTAACCAAACGTAATCTAGCTCAGCACAACATGCCGTGGCCTCTGTTTCTGCCCTCGCCAGAGCGAAGGAGAGCACGTTAGATCACAGCAGCGCGGAAGAATCCATCGAATGGCCGTGTATTGCACAAAAGTCGAAGATTTGCTCTCCTAGCCCGACCAAACGCAGCACAACTATAGGTATCATATCCAAATCTGGGGGGCCACGACCATTATTTCTGGCCTCACCAGAGCCAAGAAGCGTCTATCAAAGCAGAGTAGCACGCTGAAATAGACGGAATAGTAGTGTATAGCGCAAAAGTCACAGCTATCCCAACCATACGAAGCCAAACATTCGTAGCCAAACGAACGTCACATAACTCAGCCTAACGTGCCACGGCCGCTATTTCTGGCCTCCACAGAGCAATGCGGTGGATATTAGAGCACAGCAGGGAGCCGGAATCCACGGAAGAACGGTGCATAGCACGAAAGTCACTGCCATACTAACCAAACTTAACCCAACCTAACCCAATCAAACGTAACTTAACAGAGCCTGTTGTGCCGCGACGGCCATTGTTGGCTTCCCGAGGATCGAGCGGAGTATAGTAGAGCAGTGTAGAGCGCAGAAATCCTCCGAATAGCAGCGTACAGCACAAAAGTCAAAGCTATCCTATCTTAGCCTAACCAAACGTAACGTAACCAAACGTAGCATGACTTTTCCTGACGTGCCGAGACCTATATTGCTGCCGTCCTCAGAGCCGAGCAGAACACATTAGAGGAAAGTAGAGCGCAGAAGTTTATGGAATCGCAGTGCATAGCGCAATAGTCGAAGCTACACTATTCCAACGTAGCCAAACTTAACATAGCCGAAGGTAGCTTAAGTATACCTAACGCGCCGAGACCACAATGCCTTTTCTCCGCAGAGCCAAGCAGAATATAATACAGCAGAGTAGTGCGCAGTAATCCACCGTAAAGCAATGTATACCACAAAAGTTGAAGAAATGCCGACATAACATTTCCAAAACTAAACTAACCAATCCTATCCCAACCTAACCTAACCTAACCTAACATAACGAAGCCAAACGTAATGCAACACAACCAAGCGCCAGGCAGAGCATATTATAGGATAGTAGAGCGCAGATGTTCATAGAATTGCAGAGTATTGCACGAAAACCAAGGATATCCTAACCTAACCCAAGCAAACCTAATCTACACGAAAGTAGCCTAACCTTAACAAACCTAGCCTCACCTAACCTAGCCTTACCAAATCTAACCAAACCTAATCCAACCTAACCTAACCTAACCTAACCCAAACTAACCCAACGTGACCTAACATAACATTTCACATCACGTGGGGGAAATCTTCCAAAGGTACCCGGCCCCCATTGGGGAGGGGGCAGCGTTATGTGGGATTTTACACATTAAAACACCCACAATGGCCATCCCTTTGCATTTCGGCGCACCCTGGACTTCGCGGCGACGCAATTGCCTGGACCCCCCCCTCCCCGGCGAAGCCATAGTTCCCGCCCGGCGAAACCACAGTTCCCACCCGGCGCTACGGGAAACCGTACCTGAAACGTCCATGCCCATGCGCTCGAGACGGGTCGATTATAGGCACACACAGCACGCATACCACCGCAAGGCAACACACACATACCCTGCGGACGCCGCGCGACTGGACCACGGTCCATCGATCAGACGGGCCCGCACTCGCCAGCCCGTGGTCACCCTGACCTAGGTTACAACGGGAGAGAGAAGCGTTCTTCCCATCTGAAGGTAAAAGGTCTTTCGCGATGGCGGAGGTCTAACGCGTTAACACATGCGGCAGATCGCGCGGCGCCTAATAGCGCCGCGCTCGCAGCCTCCGCCACTCTGCGCGCGAGAAGCACGCGCTACGCTCGCGTGCTCTCTCCGCGGCCTCCTGCTGTAACATATCTGCCTCACAGAAGGAGGCCACCGCACGCCACGCACCTAAGCTCCCCGTCATCTTCGCCGCGACGACGGACAGTGAAAGGTCCAGAAACACCACGCAGCAAAGTACCCGACGCTCGCGAGCCCACGCCGGGCATTCCTCCAGCGTGTGCTGCGCCGTGTCCCGCCCTTCCCCGGAGTGATAACAGCGCGTCTCACGTTCCCGCCCGATACGACGTAGGTAATCCCCGAAGCACCCGTGCCCGGTTAGCACCTGTGTCAGGCGGAAAGTGTTCCGGCTGCCGCTGCGCCCATATGCATCCAACACGGGGATCACTGCCTCTATCGGCCGGTGACGCCGGCTGCTCGGATTCCTCAGCCGAGCTCGCCAGGCGGTCATCACGGACTGTCGGAACCTTCGCCTCAACGAAATGGCCTCTTCTTCAGGAGCACCGTCGCCGCCAGCGTGTAGGAGTCTGTAGATACGGGCCTCCCCACGGCTTGCAGTTCGAACGGCGGAACAACCGCCAGGACCATCACCGCCCCGTGGGATATATTGCGATAGCCCCGCACGACCCTGATTGCCATCCTGCCAGCGACTCGACGGAGAAGCGCCAGACAGCGCGGAATAGCGACCAGGTCTTTCGCCCAGATCGGCGCCCTGTATGGCGCCACCCAGCGAACGACTCCAGTGTAGCGGCGGCGCACCCTCCCGTCTGGCCCACAGGTTTGGTAGCAGGCGACACAGCGCCCCCACCATACATTCCAGGCGTGGTTCGAGCGCAAGAAGATGCTCGTGGAACTTCCAGTGGCCATCGAGGACGAGACCGAGATTTTTCTTACGGTCCCGTACCACGACCACGACGTTCCCCACGCGCATCAGGGACTTGGGCGGCTTCCCGTGGTGCCGATGGCAAAACCACATTGTTTCGGTCTCGAGCTTGCCCACCTCGTATGCCTTCGGAATGTCCGACGGCTTCCCTGTTGTCGGGATCAGCACGATACTCGCTCACTTCCAACATGCCGCGGAGCGACCGGACCTGAAGCAGCTGTCGAGAAGCCGCCGCACACGGTCGCCCCACGCCTCCAGAGGCAGTGCAAAGACTCGTCCTCGGATGCCGTCCGGCCGGGGGACGGTGCTCCACGCCACATCCTAACGATCGCAAGGCCCGACTACTCGCGCGAGACCCCCAGTTCCTCGGGACATCCGATCAGTTTCGATCGCACTAGTTGCACCCCTCCGCCGCCGCCGCCGGGAAGAGGGCGTCGATCACCGGCCGCAGGAGCTCGTGGTCCACACGCTCGGTCACGGCGGGAACCCATGCCCATAGGTTCCACATTAGTAACTTATAGGGGCGTCCCGGCTTATCGCTTCCGGGCGTCGCGAGGATCTCGTCCCATTGCCGAGATTTGGCTCTGCGAATCTCCCTACGGATATCGCCCACCTTTGACCGGTACTCGCGATAGAGGAGCGCTATCTCCTCGGCGGACACCGCGCGTCGTTGACGTCGCGCCCGGGTGCACTAGCGCCCGGTCAGCACCCAGAGCTCCCAGAGCTTAGCAATTTCTGTCGACCACCAGTACGCTTCACCCCTCGAACGTGGCTCCCTCACCCGCGGCATGGCGTCGTCGCACGCGCGCGTCACCGCCTCCGTTAGCCGCTCCGCACCTGACCCCGAGGTGATTGCTGAGCGTTTCCTCCTCCACCGCCACCCTCCAGACGGTGACCAGCCGCACAGCTACCGGCGATGCGAATTACAAGTAAACGACAGACGTGCCGTTCCACTGGACGCACGTGCTTACGGAAACCCGGTTGAGCAACCCGGGATCCAATCCCGCGGCCAAATCTTCCAGGGCTTCGCCCCGAGTGTCTGCTCGCGGAGAACCTCACGCCACGTAGTGGGCTTTGAAGTCCCCCAGGACCGGAACAGGACGAGCCATTTGTTCACTAAGGAAACCTCCGGGCTCGTCCAAGTACCACTCGCACGATGAGAGACCGCGGCTTGGGGAGACGTAGCACACCACCACGACCACGTCGGTTGAGGAGATCACCACGAAACCAACACAGCTCTGAAGCAGCGATGGTGCGTGTGTACGCAGCAGTACCCTGGCGATGATCGCCACGGAGCAGCCCCGATCACCGAACCACCAGTCCTGATCGAGAATACGGTACGGCTCTGCAGTAACAGCCAGCCCGACAACAAGCTTAACGAGCGTCTGCAGGATCACGTCCTGCGACCCCCACGAATGTGACCTAACTTAATCTAATCTAACATAACCTAACATACCCTAACCTAACCTAACCTAACTTTACCTAGCCAAATCTAACCTAACCTAACCTAACCTAACCAAGCCCAACTTAACCTAACCTAACCAAACGTAGCATAACTCAGCCTAACATACCGAGAGCACTATTGCCCGCATCCCGAGCGCCAGGCAGAGCGTATTAGAGGAGAGTAGAGCGCAGAGGTCCATAGAATGGCAGTGTATTGCACGAAAACCAAAGGTATCCAGACATAGCCCAAATAAACCTAACCTAAATAAAAGTAACCTCATACAAACCAGCGCGCCGCGTCAACTATTTCTGGCATACCCAAACCAAAGCTGGGAATATTAGTTCGCAGTAGAGCATAGAAACCCACCGAATAGCAGTGTATAGCATAAAAGTCAAAGCTCTCCTCTCCTAACCTAGCAAACGTAAAATAAGCGGACGTAAGGAAGCACTATCTGAAGAACGGCGAACGCTATTTCTGGCCTCTTGAGAGCCAGGCAGAGTACGCTTGAGCAATGTAGAGCGCAGAAATCCAACGAAAATCAAAGTATGGCCGAAAAGTCAAAGCTATCCTCTCATAACCTAGCCAAACGTAGCATGAATGAACACAACATAACTCACATAGCCTGCCGAGAACAATACTGCTGACACCCCCATATCCTGGTACAATATACCTGAGCACAGAAGACCGCAGAAATCCACCGAATATCAGTATACAGCACAAAAGACAAAGCCGTCCTAACCAAACTTAACCCAACTTAAGCGCAACCTAACACAACCTACCGTGCCGAGACCACAATTGCTGGCCCACAGAGCCAAGCAGAACATACTAGAGCGCAGTAGATAGCAGAAACTCAACGTATAGCAGTGTACAGCACAAAAGTCGAAACTAGCATATCCTAACCCAAAAAACCTAACATAAGCTTACGTAACCTAGCACAACCTAACGCGCCTGGGCCACAGTTTCTGGAATTCGCAGAGCAAAGCAGCCGATATTAGATCACGGTAGTACGCAGAAATCCACCGAATAGCAGTGTACATCAAAAATCTAAGAGATATCCTAACCTAACGTGACAAAACCTAACGTAGTCGTACGTAACAAATCCCAGCCTAACATGCCCAGCCCACAATTGCTGACCTGCACTCCGCGAAGCAGGGCATAATAGAGGAAAGCAGATCGCAGAGGTCCATAGAATGGCAGTTTAAAGCACTATAGTCATTGCTATGCTTACCTAACCCAAACAAACCTAACGTAGCCATGCGTAGCAAAGCACAACCTATCGCGCCGCGGCCACTATTTCAAGCATTCCCAGATCAAAGCAGGAAGTTTTAGATAGCATCAGACCGTAGAAATCCGCCGGAAAGCAGTGTGTAGCACGAAAGTCAAGGCTACCCTCTCCTAACCTAATAAAACATGACATAACCAAACGTTGCCTATCACAACGTAACGTGCCGAGACCACCATTACCGTGGTCTCCCCAGCGCCAAGCGGAGCATATTAGAGCACAGCAGAGAGCAGAAGTCCTCCGAGCAGCGGTGTATAGCACAAAAGTCAATGTTATCCTAGCCTAAGGTTTCCGAACATAACATAACCAACCGCACCCTAACAGAAGCTAACGTGCACAGACCATTATTACTGGGATCCCCAGGGCAAAGCAAGACGTATTGGAGCACGGTAGAGAGCAGGAAGACACCAAAGAGCAATGTATACCACATAATTCAAAGATATCCTTACCTAAGGAGACCTAACATAACCTAACAAAACGTAGAATTCATAAACCTAAAGCGCCGAGACCTCTATTGCTGGCCTCCCCAGAGCCAAGCAGAACGTACAAGAGCACAGTGGAGCGCAGAAATCACCAGTATATCGGCGTAGAGCAGAAAATACAGAGCTACCCTGTTCTAAGCTATCCAATCGTAACATCACCAAACGTAGCCTAATCTATCGCGCCATGACCATCATTGCTGGCCTTCCCAAAGTGTGGCGGAGTATCCTAGAGCCAAGGAGAGCGCAGAAATCTGCCGAATAGCAGCGTATAGCACAAGAGTCTAAGCTTTCCCCCCCTAACCAAACCAAACGTGGCATAACCAAACGCAACCTGACTCATACATACGTGCCGAGACCGATAATGCTGGCCTCACCATAGCCAAGCAGAATGTGTTAGAGCAAAGTGGAGCGCAGAAATCCACCGAATAGCTATGTGTAGCACAAAAGTGAAATCCATCCTGGTCAAATATAGCCCAAACGAAACTAACCAAGCGTTACATACCACAAACATATGTGCCGCGACCACAATTGCTGTTCTCCGCAGAGACCAGCCGAAGCAAGTCGAGCAATGCAGATCGCAGGTATCAAACGAATGGCAGTGTATAGCACAAAAGTAAAAGCCATCCTAACCAAACTTAACCGAACCTTACCTAACCAAGCTTAACTTGGCACAGCCATACGTTGCACGACCGCAGTTGCTGGCATCCCCAGAGACATGGGGATGCTAGTAGAGCAATGCAGATCGCAGATATCGACCGAATAGCAGTGTATAGCACAAAAGTCACAACTGCCACAACCAAACCTAACCTAACCTCGCCAGGCCAAACGTAACATAACTCAACCTAGTGTGCCGAGACCTCTATTGCTGTCCTCCCCAGAGCCAGGCAGAGCATGCTTGAGCATACCGCAGCGCAGAAATACACCGGATATCTGTGCATAGCACAAGAGTAAAAGCTGCCCTGGCCAAACTTAGCCCAAACAAACCTATCCGAACGCAACCTATCTCATCATAACGTGCAGTGACCGCCATTTCTAACCTTCCGAACGCCAAGCAGAACACACTGGGACGCTGTAGAGCGTTTATATCCACCGAAATGCAGTGCATAACACTATAGACAAAGCTACTACCTCCTATCCTACCCAATCATAACATTACCAAACGCAACAGAACACAAACTGCTGTGCCGTGCCAGGATTGCAGGCCTCGACAGAGCCAAGCAGAACATATTAGTGTGTAATAGAACTCAGATCCATAGAATCGCAGTGCGCAACTGAGAAGCCTAAGCTACCGAAGCCTAACCCAAACCAACAGAGCCAAGCCTATCATAGCATAGCTCTACCTAACGTGCCGCGACCACTACTGCTGCACTCGCCAGGGACAAGCTGGATATAGTAGAGCATAGTAGAGCGTAGAAGCCCACCGAGCATCAATTTATACCGCGCAAGTCGAATCTATACTAGCCTAACCCAAACTAACATAACGCAGCCATACTTAGCCTCACTAAGCCTATCGGTCCGAGACCACTATTACTGGCTTCACCATCGTCGTGCAGTGTACAGTAGGGCAACGTATGGCGTAGCAATCAACCGAGTAGCTGTTTACAGCACAAAAGCCGAAACCACCATATCCTAACATATCCAAACGTAATATAACCATACGCCTCCTAAATTAACTTAACGAGCCGGGACCACTTTTACTGGCCTACCCAGAGACAAGTAGAATATACTGGAGCACAGTAGAGCGCAGAAGGCCGCCAAACAGCAGTGTACAGCTCAAAAGTCAAGGAAAGCCTAACCAAACCTGCCCCAACATAACCAAACGAAACGCAGACTGACCAAAACTAACGTGCCGAGTCCACCAATGCTTGCCTCCATAGAGATAAGAGGACGCTAGTAGAGCAATGCAGATCGCAGACATCGACCGAATAGCAGTATGTAGCACAAAAGTCACAGCTACCCTAACCAAACCACGCCAAACCTAGCGAAGCAAAACGTAACTTAACACAACCAAACGTGCCGAGACCACTATTGCTGGCCTTCCTAGAGACAAGCAGAACATATTAGAGCACAGTCGAGCGGAGAAATCAACCGCACAGCAGTGTATAGCACGAAAGTCAAAGCTATCCTATCCTAACCGGTCGAAAGGTAACGAAACCAAACGTAGCACATCACAACATAGCGTGCCTAGACCATAGTTGCTGACATTCCTAGAGCCAAGCAGAATGCACAAGAGCACAGTAGAGCGCACAACTCCACCGAATATCGGGTTATAGCAAAGAAGTCAATACTTTCCTGTCCTAGGGCAACCGAACGAAACATAGCCTTCCGTAATGTATCTCAACCTTACGTGCCGAGACCACTATTGCTGGCTAACACAGAACAGAGAAAATTATAGCGGAGCACAGTAGAGACAGAAATTCACCGAATAGCAGTGTGTGCCGCGAAAGACAAAGCTATCTATGCCTAACCCATACCAGCATAACTCAACCAAACGTAGCCTATCTCAACCTAACGTGCCGATACCATCACTGCTGGCATCCCTAGAGAAAGTCAGGGCCAATTCGAGCACAGTAGTTTGCCGAAATTCTCCGAATAGCCGTGCATAGCACAAAAGTGAAAGCTATCCGTGCCAAACATAGCCCAACCTAACCTAACCGAACGTAACATATCCCATCATAACGTGCAGAGACCACTATTGCTGGCATTCCCAGTGCCAAACTGGACACATTAGAGCACTGTAGCGCACTGAAGTCGACCGAATAGCGTTGTGTAGCACACCAGTCAAAGCTATCCACTCCTAGCCTGACCAAACGTTGCATAACCAAACGTAACGTAGCCCAGCATGGGGTGCCACAGCCACTATTGCTGTCCTCAGGAAAGCCGAGCACTGTATGGCGGACCATTGTAGGAAGCTGAATTCGACCAAATGGCATTGTACAGCACATAAGTCAAGGCTATCCCAACCAAACATAACCAAACGTATCCTAACCCAACGTAATATAATTTAACCTAACGTGACGCGACCAATGTTCCTGGCATCCCCAGGCACAAGCGGAGTGTGGTAGCACATAATGAAGCGCAGATGCCCATAGAATATCGGTGTGTAACACAAGTCAAAGCTATTCTAACCTAACGCAGCGTACACTATCCCAGCCAAACGTATCCCATCTCACCCTAACGTCCCGCGATCGC